CCGCCCACCCTCGATCCGTGGAACAATTCCCTTCCACGAAACCAGTCCCTAGTGCCAGAAAGGTTGGGGACTGCTCAGCTAAAGCACTGATAATAAGCAACCTTATTATATATCTTATTTATGTGATACTAGCTGCAAAAAATCTGGCAACACAGAACAGTCTTTCTGAAGCTAAAATTAAATTACTGCCCTCCAATGGCATCTGTTTAAAATGCATCTTCTGTATGAATTCATACATGTATCAACTTTGTGCTTTTTGCATTGTCTTGAAGTAGTGAACCATGGCTGGGCTGCACCATTTCAGATAAGCATTTAATTATACAAAGATAAATTATCTTAATAGAGAAGTCAGAGCTTAAATTCGTTCTTCATGTGGAAAAATTGAAGTCTTGAGAGTTCCTATCTGTACTCTAAAGTAGTACAGCCCTAGGATTTTTGTCATTTTAAGTAAGAATTGAATTTACTATTCTTGCATGGACAATTACATGTCAATAGCACAATGGGATTCCATAATACCGAAGATTTTTGGATAAACTATTCTAAGAAGTTAGCTCTAATAAATTCACAATTATCAAATTATTTGGGTTTTTATGTGTATTCTATCCTTGCAAATTTCTATTTAAATTAGGCTGCAATTGAGATACACAATAGGAAAGATTGAACAACCCTGAAGGGTTTTTAAGGTATGGTACAATTTTGATATAGTGTGGACAGCTTTTTTTACCAGCAGTACTTTAACGTAGGTTGTATTAGGATATATTTATGGCTTATGAATACAAGTGGTCCTTGTTTAATGACTGCCTCGTACAATTACAATGGTGATAAAAAAGTAGCTGTGACCAATCCTCACTTTTAAAACCTTTGCAGGTCTGGAAAGGAAAGGAAAAAGCTAAAGTAAGATCATAAGCAAAATTGCAATTTAATTTAGCAGCCACTTTGCTTAATGGAGTTGCTGATTCTAATTGTGTTCACTAAACAAGGACTACCTCTATCTTGTTTGGATATGTGGGTGCATAATTACATCCATGTAAACAAAATACATGAATGAAGAAATGTTGAAATGTTTATTCCATTTGTATGCCGCCCTATTCCCGAGAGACTCAGGGCGGCTAACNATTAAAGAAAAATAACACACTAAGTTTGACTCAGGCTTAATCTCGCCGCTTAACCTCTTCTGTCTTCAATTTTAACTTTACTTTTGATCTTTTTGGGTGTTCTCTAATAATAAAATTTATCTCACCAATTCGACACACTTTTTCTCCCGCTTTCCTTCCATTCTGGAGCTCTCCCAACTTTCAGCAGATTTAATGACTACTTCTCTCTCTCCGGAAAAAAGGGCTTCTCCTGGATCTAGCAGGGACTTTACAATGTCCCTGGGATCAACAGGATGTGCCCTTCTCTATCATCGTCTCTGCAGGATGGTTTAGGTCCAAAAGGACTGTCCAGTGGCAGAAGATATCCATGGTGATCTTGGAGCTTCAAGATCACATGTTGTATTGTCGCGACGTTAGCCCCGCCTCTCAACATTTTTTAAAACTTTCTGATAGATGATTAAAATGTATAACGAGCCTTTATCAATGCCTATTCTATTATTCTTAATTTTCTACAATGTTAGAATTTCTTGAAAGGATGGAGGGAAGTTGTACCTAAAGTTTTGGAGTGATATCTGTGACCTTTGGGCTGCAGGTTGTACACGCCTGCTATCAAGAATCTACATTTTAATTTTCAGTGTTATTTAGCTTTATATTTCCATTTTTGTCAAGGCCTTTGGAAAGAATGACTGATATCCCTTTCTTCCTTTCTAGTCCCCTCTGGGTTTATTTTATTGCTATTTTTATTCTTTTGTCTCATAATGTTTTTGTGTTTTGTATTGTTCTTTGTTTTTAAACGTTTAACAATTGCAAAGGGCTGAGAGCTGGATGGTAATAAATTGAATTATTGTTGTTGTTGTTATTATTATTATTATTTTGATTGACATTTCCAACATAGCATGTAACCTGATGTATTATTATAGAATGGTTTTTAAGGATTATTCTAAATCTTTTTAAAAAAAAATCCCTTTTATTAGATGGACCAATTGCCATGGTTGGATCTGCAGCTATGGGAGGAATTCTTCTAGCGTTAATTGAAGGAGCAGGTATCCTGTTAACAAGATTTGCATCTGCTCAATTTCCTAATGGTAAGATAATTACAGAGTTTCATATGCTGTAAAATCTGATATCTAATTCTCTTACTGAAAAACAATTTTACTTCTTTTAAAAGTTCAATTAAATATTATGGGAGTTATTTTTGCTACAATAAATTGAAAGCATTCAAAATAAAACATTTGAGGATACTTGAAACTTATCTGCAAACTTGTAATACTTTCACATAACAGATATCAAAAACTTGTGTAATAGTAGTTTCATAGAGTTGTCAATTCTGGTTCTAAAGATGTGACAGTAGGTTCTTAACTGTTGGTGACTTCCCAATTGCATGTTAGTATGGAACAATCATACTACAAGAACTCCAATTTTCTCCCATGAACCTAATGGAAACATATTCAGTGCAGCAATATACTGCAGAGCGATAAACAATTGCTGTTGTTTTTTATTACAGGTCCTCAACTTTCCGAAGACCCATCTCAGTTACAAGCCTCTCCGTTTGGAGACTATAGGCAGTACCAATGATTTCTTCTGTTTCTGTTGAACTTTAAAGTTTTACCTTTAAAAGGAGAAGCAAAATGCAGCCTCACTTGAAGACTTTTCATTGGATGTGTACATGTAGATGTTACTGTATTTTTCACAATATTTAAAGGATTATGAATAGAAATTATCACTGTAAAATAAATATGAAATGCCTGCAAACTCCATAGATATTCCTTATCTTAAGGATCAAGCAACATATGGATCTGTGGCCTTTTTCAGTATAATGCAAATTATATCACTGGGGATATAACCACCATGTAATATGAAAACTTACAGAATGCACTACCAGAATATGTGCTGGTAACAGACATCTGCAGTGAGCTGCGTTGTTTCCTTCCAGATAATCAGAAAGAAGTGCAAAGTAAAGAAGAAATATTTAATTTCCTTTTAATTTTCTTGTAATGTTAATATAAAATCTCCGTAGTGAGAATGAAATATTAAGGGAGATCATAAAAGTTCTTTACTGAATATTTAAAAGGATATATTATGTTGGCAAAAAATTCAAGGACTATTTTTGGCAAGAAATCTGTTTTTTTTTTTCTTGAGCTTTTTTAATCTTTGGAAAATAAGTCTTATAACAGTGGATGAAATGTTTGTGATCAGATGGTGTAATTTGCATGTCTAAAGTTCCTTACCCTATCTGCACAACAACACGATTGTCCTTCATAACAGTCTTATCTGAAGCTTGTGTGTTTTCAACTTTTGTCTGTTTTAAATGAATTTACTATTTTTTTCCTAAGTAATTATACAAAGAATATAAATATGTTACCTGTTTTAGACTAAACATGAGAATGAAGTTTTGCTTTAACAAGACAAAATGCTGCATGAAATTGTTAACTAGTTTTGGAAAAAGGAATAAAGTTAGAGAGTGGAGCATTTCACATGTCAAGGGAAAAGCATGTTTTGGAATGCCTGGGGGTGTTCATATAGCATCTGTTAACAATTTGTTAAAGCAGCCATGTCTTCCTACGATTGCATGGCTGTCCTCCATAATGGTAGCATGATATTGAGAAAAGACTTACTTGATCTGGAGTTGCTACATGCATATCCAAATGCACACTAAAATTAATTTATTCCTAGTAATCTAAAGCAGGGGTCCCTAACTTGTTAGGCCTGTTAGGAACTGTGTCGCATAAGTGGTGCAAAAGTGAGCAAAATTTTGTCTGCACATGTGTGGAATCTAGGTTGCACGTGAAACTATCCCTTCCNAGGCGGTCTCTCAAGTACCCAGGTCCAATACCAAGAGGTTTCATGAATATTGCATCTCAATATTGCATCTCAAAAATCTAAGGTCAGCCACATCTATAATTTGTTTTTAAAGAACTAATTTCAAGGGAATTAGAATTATAGAGAATACTCGATGTGTAAGATGATGAGAAGGATCATGCAGCCAATTAACTAAGCTTTTTGAGAAGATTCAGTGCTGGATTAATATATTGCATCAACCAATAACTTGTTTAAACTGCATCCTCAACTGACGACCACAGCTAAGCCCAAATTTTCTGTTGCTAAGCAATACAGTTGTTCAGTGGGTTTTGCCTTATGAACTTTCTTGTCACAGTTGTTAAATGAATCACAATTACTGAAATGTTTGTTAAGTGTATCTGGTTTCCCCATTGACTTTGCTTGTCAAGAGGGTTGCAAAATATAATAATGACATTGGTACCCTAAAATTCTCATAAATACATGCCAGGTTGCCAAGTGTCTGAATTTTGATCATGTGACTATGGGGATGCTACAGTGGTCATAAATGTGAAAAGTGGTCATAAGTCATTTTTTCAGTGCCATCATAACGTTCACTAAGCAAATGGTTGTAAGTTGAGGACTACCTGTGTATAATCAGGCAGTGAACTGCTAAGTGGTATTGTGGTTGGGCTTACAAAATTGGCTAACATCAAACAACGCTACAAAGCTCTTTCAATATTTTTGAATGTTCCAGTATTCCTCGCACTTTACGACTGTATGAACAGGATGAAAAAAAAGATCCCACAAATGTCCCTAAAATCAGACCAAATTGTCTTGCCATGTCTCATTGTGTCATGTACTGTGCAGTACACAAGTTGATCACTTCAGATGCATTTGATCAATGGCACAAAAAGAAGCTTTTCCTTCTTTCTAACTGATTGAATCTCTCCCCCCACCCCCAAATAATGATGATCAGAGGTGGTATTCAGCAGGTTCTGACCAGTTCTGGAAAACCAGTGGTGGAATTTTTGAGTAGTCTGGAGAATCGGTAAATACCATCTCCGACTGGCCCCATCTATTCTGCCTCCCAAGTCCCAGCTGATTGGGAGGGAATGGGGATTTTGCAGTATCCTTTCCCTGCCATGCCCACCAAGCCTCGCCCACAGAACCAGTAGTAAAAAAAGTTGAATCCCACTACTACTGATGATGGTGGTGGTAATTATTCAATCTCTCACTTCTGTCACTCTTATGGGGCTGTCAACTCCGATGTCCCTGCAAGTGTAATCAGCCATTCTGGCAGTTGCTCTGAGACAACTTTATGGTTAATCACGGAACCATAGAGTCCTCTAGAACTAACAGAACTGGCCTGCAAGTGTTGGCAGCTGCTCTGAGCTCTAGTTGGAGCATAGAGTCCTCAGAGCAACTGCCAGAATGGCTCCTAACATCTCAGGGTTTGAGCAGTGGTGTTAGCAACTTCACTATAAACATAATGGTGACAACAACAGTGGTAGGAGGGTAAGGGGGCAAGCAGCAAGAGGGAGGATCATGGAAAATCACAAGACAAAATTCATTTCCTCACACTCTGCAGTTAAAAAGGCCACCTGGGAAAGGTAACATGCCGTTTGTAAAACACGTGCTTGATTTTCTACTAGAATCCACATTATAAAAGGAATAGAGATAATCAAGCATAGGATAAATGAAATAAGTAAAATTTTTAGTAAATGTTCACAAACTAAAATCCTCTAGAAAACGGATGGGCTTTCTGAGTAGAGATAAGTGAATGCAGCACTACTTTCCCAGTCCTCACCCTACCCTTACACCAAAATTGGTTATATGCAGCTAGCTCTCATTCTTTGTGTAGTCTACATTCTGGTCTGGGTTTAGGAGAAGAATGTTCTCATGCTTATAAATTATGTTTATCTTATTTTGGTGGATCTATCCTTTTTAGGTTTGAGAGACAGAATGCCACTGGGTGAAGGGACCGTTAATGGCAATAATAACAAGTAAATAAATAGAATGTTGTGGGATATAGTATATCCCTTTCTCTTATTGTGACAGGTTGATAAACATGGTACTAATCATACAGCTTTTGACAACAAACTAAGCAAAAATGTGATTAGTTAAGCTATGATTCAGAGTCATCTAAACAATGTTGATTACATAAATGATTTTTTTCAAATAGCAATAAGTATAAACTTACTGTATACACTTATCCTGCTTATCAAACAAATGCCTAGTTACAAATGAATCAGAAGTGTTGCTGTTATGATCCCATAACAGTTTTATCTACTACCTCCCCACCACCAATTAACACTGAATATATTTGCTGTTTCATATTTGAACATTTACATATCTAAACAGAACATATCACCTAAGTCTTAAGATGTACTGTACAATGACAATTTGTTAGCGATTTTTTCTCACCTATCTTATTTCCATTTAGTTTTAAAATTAATTAATTAATTAATTAAAATTAGAAAGAAAACACCAACTTCAAGCACACCTGCATTTCCAACAATTTGTCTGGATGCCACATGGACTCCAGAGGTGTCAATAGGTAGGTTGCTGCAACCCAATACTTTGTTTGTTTTTGGTTTGTGGCTCTTTTGTAACTGATCACAGCCACCATGACTACCATTTTGTGAGAATGCCCAAAATTTCATATGAGTCTCGGCATCAAAAAGGTTGGAGGACCTTACCATTCCTTATAAGAGAATGTTATAACAAGCCTAAATCTGTTTTTCCAACTCTCTAATCATGATGTGTTCTATTTTTCAATCATTACATTTCCTTCTACACATGTCTATCAATAATTTTATATTTGAACCTTCTGAGTCCTTTTAAAAATGAATTAATCTTTTTCTACAAGTTTCCACTTCCAAGTAGTTTAGTTTAGTTTAGTTTATTGAACACTTATAGGCCGCCCTTTTCCCTGAGGGGACTCAGGGCGGCTTACAATAATGAGGGAAGGGAGTGCAAGACGAGACATAAAAGAAAACGTGAGTAAAAAAAAAAAAAAAATTAACCATAAAAGCACAACATTCACTCAGCATTCGGGCGGGGA